GGTAAGTAACCCTCTCTTCTTCATCAAGCTGTGTCCCTGTGGGTGCTCCACTTTAGGTGACTGTAGAGCAGTGCCCCTTGTTGGAAGGCTGGTGCTTCAGAATTGGACCTGCAAGCAATGATGAGACAGCTCATCCTAACAGAGCATCTGAGATTGAATCTTGCTCAATTGCATAATGCTCCGTGAAGGTGTGGGCTTATGCCCAGGTGGCTGATTCACAGATCTCTGTGATGGGTACATTGTTCAGGAAGGCTATTGAGGTAGTGATATGGTGGAGTGTGTTCAAGTTCCCAGTGGGCGTTGCAGATCATGATGGTGGTAGCAAAGGAGAATGCACCCAGAAATCCATTTTGAGAGCCTTTGCTTAGATATGGCTGATCCTTTAGACGTTTCCATAACAGAAAGGAATAGCTTGGGTGACTTCATGAAGGGTTTTGGCATAGAATCATAGAATAATAAAAGATTAGGGATGGAAGACACCTCATAAGGTCATCTAGTTCAGCCCCCTGCTTAAAGCAGGACAAACCCGAACTAAATCATCCCAGACAGGGCTTTGTCAAGCCTGACCTTAAAAACCTCCAAGGATGGAGATTCCACCACCTCCCTAGGTAACCCATTCCAATGATTCACCACCCTCCTAGTGAAATAGTTTTTCCTAATATAAAAACTAGACCTCCTCCACTTCAGCTTGAGACCATTGTTTCTTCTTCTGTCATCTGCCACCACTGAGAACAGCCTATCTCCATCCTCTTGGAACCCCCCTTCAGGTAGTTGAAGACTGCTATCAAATCCCCCCTTTCTTCTCTTCTGCATACTAAATAAGCCCAGTTCCCTCAGCCTCTCTTCGTAAGTCATGTGCCCCAGCCCCCTAATCATTTCCATTGCCCTCCGCTGGACTCTCTCCAATTTGTCCACATCCTTTCTATAGTAGGGCCCCAAAACTGGATGCAATACTCCAGATGTGGCCTCACTAGTGCCGAATAGAAGGGAATAATCACTTCCCTCGATCTGCTGGCAATGCTCCTACTAATGCAGCCCAATATGCCGGTTGTCTTCTTGGCAACAAGGGCACACTGTTGACTCATATCCAGCTTCTCAACCACTGTAATCCCTAAGTCCTTTTCTGCAGAATTGCTGCTTAGCCAACCAGTCTCTATTCTGTAGCAGTGCAAGGGATTCTTCCATCCTAAGTGCAGGACTCTGCACTAGTCCTTGTTGAACCTCATCGGATTTCTTATGACCCAATCCTCCAATTTTTCTAGGTCACTCTGGAGCCCATCCCTACCCTCTAGTGTATGTACCTCTGTCTCCATCTTAGTGTCACCCACAAATTTTCTGAAGGTGCAATCCATTCCATCATCCAGATCATTAATGAAAAAGTTTAACAAAACCGGCTCCAGGACTGATCTCTGGGACACTCTGCTTGATACTAGCTGCCAACTAGACATTGAGCTGCTGATCACTACCCATTGAGCCTGATGATCTAGCTAGCATTCTATCCACCTTATAGTCCAATAATCCAATCCATACTTTTTTAACTTGATGGCAAGAATACTGTGAGAAACCATATCAAAAGCTTTGCTAAAGGTGGACTATAAGGTGCTTAAGTCAAGATATATCATGTCCATCTCTATCCTCATATCCATAGAGCCAGTTATTTCATCATAGAAGGCAATTAGGTTAGTCAGGCATGACTTGCTCTTGGTGAATCCATGTTGACTGTTCCTGATCACCTTCCTCTCCTCCAAGTGCTTCAAAATGGATTCCTAAAGGACCTGCTCCATGAATTTTCCAGTGACTCAGTTGAGGCTGAGTGGTCTGTAGTTCCCTGGGTTCTTCTTCTTCACTTTTTTAAAGATGGGCACTATATTAGCCTTTTTCCAGTCATCCTTTCAATATAGAATGCTAATGCCCATCTGACATCTAGAGTGCGGAACTTTGCCTCTCATTTGTTCTCCTGAGGTTTAGGGAAGAACGATGGCAGGTGGATGGGTTGAATGCAGGTGGAATGAGAAAGGAATTTTGGGTAGAAATTTAAGATGCGGTCTTAAAGTGACCTTGTCTTTGAAGAAGATTGTATATGGCGGGTATGCTGTGAGCTCCTAGTTCTCCCACTCATCACATGGATGTGATAGCAATGAGGAAGGCCGCCTTCATCGATATGTGCCTGAGTAAAGATGTCATTATGGGTTTGAATGGGGGACCAGTGAGATACCGTAGTACTACGTTAAGGTCCCAGGGTGGGGTGGGAACTTGAATTTCCAGACAGAGGTTCCAAATACCCTTGAGGAATCATTTAGTGATAGGATGGGTAAAGACTGAGAACTACGGCAGTCAAGTGATTAAAAAAATTATCGCTATTAATCGTACGGTTAAACAATAATAGAATACCATTTACTTCAATATTTTGGATGTTTTCTACATTTTCAAATATATGGATTTCAATTAAAGACAGAATACATTGTAAAAAAGAAACAAAAGAAATAGTATTTTTCAATTCACCTAATACAAGTACTGTAGTGCAATCTCTTTATCATGAAAGTTGAACTTACAAATGTAGAATTATGTATAAAAAATAACTGCTCTCAAAAATAAAACAACATAAAACTTTAGCGTCTACCACTCCACTCAGTCCTACTTCTTGTTCAGCCAATTGCTCAGACAAACAAGTTTGTTTACATTTATGGGAGATAATGCTGCCTGCTTCATGTTTACAAAGTCACCTGAAAGTGAGAAAAGGCATTCACATGGCACCGTTGTAGCCGGAGTCACAAAATATTTTTGTGCCAGATGCGGTAGAGTCATATGTCTCTTTTTTCTTTGCACATCATTCCAGAGGACATGCTTCCATGCTGATGACGGGTTCTGCTCAATAATGATCCAAAACAATGTGGACTGACGCATGTTCATTTTCATAATGTGAGTCAGATGTCACCAAGAGAAGGTTGATTTTCTTTTTTGGTGGTTAGGGTTCTGTAGTTTCCACGTTGAAGTTTTGCTCTTTTTAGACTTCTGAAAGCTTGTTCTACACCTCGTCCCTCTCAGATTTGGGAAGGCACTTCAGATTCCTAAATCTTGGGTTGAGTGCTGTAGTTATCTTTAGAAATCTCACATTGGTACCTTCTTTGTGTTTTGTCAGATCTGCAGTGAAAGTGCTCTTAAATCGAACAACATGTGGTGGGTCATTATTCAAGACTGCCACAACACAAAATATATGGCAGAATGCAGGTAAAGCAGAGCAGGGGACATACAATTCTCCCCCAAAGAGTTCAGTCACAAATTTATTTAACCATTATTCTTTTAACGAGCATCATCAGCATGAAAGAATGTCCTCTGGAATGGTGGCCAAAGCATGAAGGGGCATACGAATGTTTAGCATCTGTGACAGACCCAGACCAGTGGGGTACAGGAGTCTGGTAGAGGGCAAATATATTGGTCACTGGATGAGTAGTTTTCTGTTCCCTGAGTGACCAGAGCAGGGGCTGCACTAGAGTAATCAGGAACCTGCTAGAACCAGTTAAGGCAGGCAGGCTAATTAGGACACCTGGGTTTTAAAAAGGAGCTCACTTCAGTTTGTGGTGCGAGTGTGAGGAGCTGGGAGCAAGGAGCGCAAGGAGCTGAGAGTCAGAGGGTGTGCTGCTGGAGGATTGAGGAGCACAAGCATTATCAGACATCAGGAGGAAGGTCCTGTGGTGAGAATAAGGAAGGTGTTTGGAGGAGGCCATGGGGAAGTAGCCCAGGGAGTTGTAGCTGTCATGCAGCTGTTACAGGAGGCACTATAGACAGCTGCAGTCCACAGGGCCCTGGGCTGGAACCCGGAGTAGAGGGCGGGCCCAGGTTCCCCCCAAACCTCCCAATTGACCTGGACTGTGTGTTCTTCCAGAGGGGAAGGTCTCTGGGCTGTTCCCCAACCCACATGGTGAATCTCTGAGGCAAGAAAATCCGCCAATAAGCGCAGGACCCACCAAGATAGAGGAGGAACTTTGTCACACATCCCTGGCACGTAAATACCTTGCAAAGCTGTCTACAACAGTGCCATACTTTCAGTTGATATTGTAAATCAGAAGCAGGCAGCATTCTCTCTCATAAATGTAAACAAACTTCTTTGTCTTAGTGATTGGCTGAACAAGAAGTACGACCAAGTAGACTTGTAAGCTCTAAAGTTGTACATTGTTTTGTTTCTGAGTGCAGTTATGTAACAGGTATGTGATTGGTCCTTTGGGATCAGAAGAACCCTTTTGTTGTTTAAATTGGCTTTAATTAACCACTCATCATTAAGTCTCCTATTTGGGTGGTGAAACCAGGGCTGGCTACCTAGGGAGACTGCATTTCTGACTTCTTGTTAGCCAGTGTAGTGAGACAGAAGTTTACTTTTGTTGGTGGTTTGGTATATCTTATTGAAGAATAACCACCAGTTTGGGGTGAGTCTGCCCCATTTCTCAGCAGTTTGTCCTGAATTTGGTATTCTCAGTTGCGACCCACTGAGGCACGGTGATGGGGAGTTTGGCCGCACAGTGCCATATAGACACCAGGGAGCAGCATGAGACAGGGGGAGCACATGTGTAGCCCAAACTGGTACTGCTACTAAGAATCTCTGATCACAGGTGCAGGGACTCAGACTCACCTAAAGAGGAGTACCCACACGAATGGGATAAAACAATTAAATTTCCCCATACCATCCAGCTTCCAATGACCTAGTAGAAAAAACTGTTAGAACTTATAAAAAAGGACATGAATATGATAAATAGTGGGAGTACAGAAACAAAGCTGGCTTGCTTTCTTCCAAAATACAGATTTCCTCCTCAAATGATAACAGGCTTTTCTTTCAATAGGAGAAAATAATAAATTATTTGGATTTAATCCATACCAGAGCTTCTACCCTCTATACAGATAACCAGTGCAGGGGACTAAGAGGGCAACTTATGCCCTCTGATTCCCCAGTGTAGATGTATAACATCAGTCACAATTGTGCCCATAATAAATAAGAGTAAATAATTCACCTCACTTGTCAAATGGATATATTGAACCATCTTCAATGTCAACAAAGTTTCATTGGAATCTTCAAAGAGAAACTAGAAGTAAAAAGACCAAAACCCATTAGAATCTCCATTCTGAACAGAAAATCAATTCTATGTGAGATCTTTAAAGAGCAGCAGTTGTTTCATGAAAAATCTTTCCAAATTAATTGTAATTCACTGCCTTAGCCCTGCTCCACTGCCCACCGGGAGCCGCAAGAGGTAAGTGCCCCCTAGCGGGAGCCCACACCTCAGCCCCCAGCCCCTGGAGCCAGGACCCCATGCCCCCTCCTGCACCCTGAACCCCCTCCTGCACCCCCTGTCCCAGCCCTGAGCCCCTTCCAGAGACAGAACCCCATAACCCTTCCTGCACGCCAACCACCTACTCCAGCCCTGACCTCCCTCCCAGAGCCAGCACTCCATACCCTCCTCCAGCACCCCAACACTCTGTCCCAGCCCAGAGTCCCCTCCTGCACCCACACTCCCTCCTGGAGCTTGCATCCCTCACCCCTCCTGCACCCCAACCCCCTGCCCCAGGCTCAGCCAAGAGCCCCCTCCCATACTGCGAACCCCTTGGCCCCAGCCCAGAGCCCAAACCCCCTCCCGAACCCCAACACCCTGCCCCAGCCTGGTGAAAGTGATTGAGGGTGGGGGAGAGTGAGCGACTGGGGTGGGGGGGAAGGATGGAGTGGATGGGGCTTTGGGGAAAGGGCGGGGGAGATCCTGGGTTGCCCTTAAATTCAGAAAGTGACCTTGGGCATAAAAAGGTTGGAGACCACTGGACTACAGAATCCTCTACTATCAGAAATCATCTCCCAATGCTATGGGCTTAACCTTAACCTTTTCCTTGGTAGACTACTTAGATTGAGCTTCTTAAATCCCTGGTTGGAAGGCAGGTATTCCTGTAGGTATTTTCTGAATCCTCATCAATTTTTCAATACCCTTTTTAGAATGGACTGGACACAGTATTCCAGCAATGTTGCAACAATGCAGGAAACTGAAGCAATACCACTTTCTTACTCCAACTCAATATCGCTCTATTTAAACATCTAATTATTGTGTTAGTTCATTTAGCAACAGCATTGCACTAGCAGTTCATGTTCAGTTGGTTATCCTCCATCACTCTTTAATGCTTTTGAGAGACAATGCTTTCCAAGTTACAGTCTTCAATCCGACAAATTACATTATTTGCTCCAAAGAGTAGGTCCACAGTGAAGGCTCATCATGTGTTCTTACATGAGTTTTAGCCCAAATCCCAATACCATACACACACAAAACTCTTAGTCACATGCTTATATGTGCTCTGAAGAAATGGTTACTCTGTGCAGTAACTGTGGTTCTTCAAGATGTGGCCCCCTTAGGGGGCTCCACTTTAGGTGTGCTAGAGCCCCCTGTGCCTTTCAAAAGAGATTCTCATAGCAGTGTCCGTTCAGTCCACACATGCTTATTATTCAGTCTCGTGCCCAGTGCCACTGTTATATAGCACTGAGTGGACAAACTGCTTTAAGTTCCTTCTGTATCATGAAGCTCCATGGCAGAGAACTCTGAAGCAGAGGGAAAGCAGGGCAGGAAGTGGAGCACATGTAGGGGGACACATGTCAAAGAACCACAATAACTGCACATGGTGAGTAACCAATTTCTTCTTCTTCTTCTTTAAGAAGTGCCCATACAGGTGCTCCACTCTAGATGACTACTGAGTGATATCCTCTAAGGCGGAGGAGGCTTCAGAATTGAGTCCAGTATGGAGGAAAGTATAGCCAAGCTGAAGATAGTATCAGTGGTGGAGTCATGAATTATAGCACAGTGTTTGGTGATCATATGTATAGATGTCCATGTTGCAATTTAACAGATTTCAATACTCAACTCATTCTTGAGCAAGCCTGTAGAAGTGGCAATGGAACTTGTAGAATGAGTTCATATTTCCTAAGGTGGCTGAATATTGAAAGACTGGTAACAAGAATTAATGAAACTTGATATCCACTTGGAAAGTTTCTGGTTAGAGATTGCTGACCCTTTTGACCTGTCTGTTAGCAAGACGAATAACCAGTGGGTATTTCTGAATAGTTTTGTCCTATCTAGCCAGAAGACTAGGGATCTCCTAATGGCAAAGGTGTGTAGCAGTGCCTCCTGGCAATTTAGATGTGGTTTGGAGTAGAAGACAGGCAAGCGAATGGGCTGATTGATGGAACTCGGAAGAAACTTTAGGTAAGAATTTAGCGTGGGGCCACAGCATGACCTTGTCCTTAAAAACACTGTGAGGAGAGGTATGTCATCAAGGCCTCTGTTTCTCCAACCCATCATGCCAATGTTATGACCATCAGGAGTACAGTCTTCATTAATTAATGGAGCAGAGAACAGGTAGCTAGAAGTTTGAAGGGCAGTCTTGTAAGGCATTTAAGGTCCCATACTGCAGTAGGGCATTGGAATGGTGGACCATTGTGGAAGGACACACAAATGGGACTCCTGTGCACACGTTGTGAGGGCTTTTTCACCAGTTGAGGGATTGTTTTACAGAGGTAGGTATGGAAAAAGCATATTTAAACTGTCTGGTTGGTGAATACATAGCTGTGAGCCACCCTTGAAGGCAGAGCATTTGAAGCCTGGCATGTTCTGTAACAAAGGTGGTGGCTGCCACATGTCCCACTAATTGAATACAGTTCCTGACTGTGGTTTGGGTGCTGAGCTGAATTGTATTTGCTATGTTAGAAAGAGTCACAAACCTGTGCAGAGGAAGGTAGGCTCTTCCTGTTACTGAATTAAGATGTGCCCCTACGAATTCTTAGTTTTGTACAGGGATCAAGGTGGATTATTGCATGTAGAGTTGTAGGCCCAATCAAGGAAGAGATCTATGGCCTCACAAGTTGCCTGAGACATTAATTCCATGAAGCGGCCTTTCAGCAACCAGTCATCCAGGTAAGGGAATACTCAATTACCTCCTGTGGAGCTGAGCTGAGCTGATACTACCAACATGACTTTCAAAAAGTCCATCAGGGCAGATGACAAGCATAAAGGGAGTACTCAGTATTGAAAGTGTTCCTGGCCAGCAATGAAATGGAAGAATTGCTTGTGGTATGGCTGGATAGCAATGTGGAAATACATCTCTTCAAGGTCGAGGCCTGAGAACCAATCCCCTTGCTCTAATGATGGAATTATCACTGCAAAAATCACCATTCTGAATTTCTGTTCCTTCACACAGGTGTTGAGTACTCTCAGGTCTAGGATGGGTCTCCATCTTCTTCTCTTTTTTGGTCCCAGGAAGTACCCTGAATAAAACCCATTCCTTATGTGCTGCATGGGGACTGTTTCTACAACTCCCAAGTATCAGAGAGAGTTTATTTCTTGACAAAACAAGCATTTGTGAGAGGGGTTCCTAAAGAGGGATGGAGAAGGGGGATCCCTTGGTGGAAGTGAACTAAAGTGGATGGTATATTCTGTGGAGAGAGGATCTCCAAAACCCACTTGTCCATAGTGATCAATTCCCACTCTTGCCTGAAGTGGTGAAGGTGGTCACTGAAGGAAGGAAGGATGGTGAATTGGTGCAGCTGAAGAGGATAAGGATGGCAATTCAAGCACTCGACCAACCCATTAAAAATTGCTACTTGCAGGTGGATGAGTGTGGGTCAGGAGGCTGAGAAGAGGATGGTTTTCTTCCCTGAAATCACTGTCTCTTTTGGTTTGGCTCATAGGATCTCCAGGAGGTAAGGTATTGGATGGGGTGGGATGTCTGGGCCGTCTGGGACTTGCTGAGCTTTCTCTTGTAGGTGGGTGTATAAATACCAAAAGAATGCAAAGTAGCTCTAGAGTCCTTCAATGTTCGCAGGGATTCATCTGTGCTATCTACAAACAACTTAGACCCATCAAAAGGAAGGTTCCTCTACTGTATTCTGGACCTCTTTTGAGAATCCAGAGAGTTGGAGCCAGGAAGCTCTTCTCTTTACCACCACTGTAGTAATCGAACAGTCAGCGGTATCAGCGGTATCAAGGCAGGTGTGTAGGACTGTCCTGGCAAGTAGCTGCCCTCCGCAATAATTGTCTAGTACTTTTTTCTGTGTTCTATTGGCACATGGTACATGAAAGAGTTTAACTTTGCATCCGAAGAAGTGGGCTGTAGTCCACAAAAGCTTATGCTCTAATAAATTTGTTAGTCTCTAAGGTGCCACAAGTACTCCTGTTCTTTTTGCGGTCACAGACTAACATGGCTGCTACTCTGAAACCAACTTTGTATAATTCATGCAGTTGTATTTATCCATCTACACCTGATAATTGGCGATTCTAAACAGTAAAGAGGCTGAGGAATAAGACTTCCTCCCCAGGAGGTCCATATGCTTGTGATCTTTGTCAGAAGGCACGATTTTAGCGTGGTGCTGCCTACCACATTCATTCACTGCATGAATTATCAAGGATGTAGGGGAGAGATGGGAAAATAAAAATTCCCAGTCCTTTGCCAGGACACAATATTTCTTATCCACTCTTTCGCATGAAGACAGAATGGAAGCTGGGGTGTATCAGGTGATCTTCGCTGGGACCAGAAGTGCCTCATAACAAGCAAGGCTATGTGGGCTGATGGGGTGAGTGGAGGATAGCGAGCTGGTTATGATGAGGCTCTGTCACCTCCTTGAGGGGAATCTGCAGGGAGTCCCAGTTCAGGGAGATTTTGGCAAACCAGTAAAGTGCCTAAACCACTATTGCTTGTTGCTAACAGTAGCCAAGTTAGCAGGCCGTACTGAGCCATTCTTGCTTATTGCTAAAAGTAGCCAAGTCAGCAGGTAGTAAATTGGTCATGCAGCGACCTCTGCATAACCAAGACAGGAGGGGAGGGGGTTTGGTGTGCCATAGACAGGGCAACTTGACACCGCATCCTTCCTGCTGAGAATGTTGAAATGGCTATGTATTTTAGAAAAAACAGGACGTCTGTCTAAATGCGCCCCCAGGAATGTTTGTCAGGGACTTAAGGCACGGACATTCTGAAAAAAAAAATCATATCTGGTAAATTGATGACCATCTTTAAAAAAAGGAAGAAGGAGGATCCGGGGGAACTACAGGCCAGTCAGCCTCAC